AATGTTTTTCAAACGCAGGAATCGCAAACTACGGAAAGAGTTGCTGAGGAAACTGCAAATCCAACCTCTGGTGGACATATTAGAGGTCGGGGACATAATGGTGGTGGCACTGGTGGGCGTGGAGGAGAGGCAAGCGGTAGTGCTAGTGCAAGTGTTGCAAGTTCTAATAAGAAATGCAAGCGCACCTCAACAGTTTGGGAGCACTTTAACACATTCGAGGAGTTCGACAATAACGGTAACATTAAATACATAGATCAATGTAAATATTGTGGTGAGAAATTACAATGTAACACTATTCACAACACTACACACTTAAGAAGACACTCTGAAAAGTGTCTTCAAAAGTAAGGAGGCGGAGATGATCTTCGCCAAACGTAATTATCGTTTGACCGCCAAACCGGCGGTCTAAGCACGTGGAAATACGATCCGCAAGTTGATCGTATGGGCCAACCCGGCGGTCTAAGCACGTGGAAATATGATCCGCAAGTTGATCGTATGAAAATGGCACGATTAATATCCATATTAGATCATCCACTAAGTTTTACTGAACAAAGAAATTAGCAGGGTTATATTAAAATTGTACATAATCCTAATGCACAAGTTTTTTCTAGAACTACTCTTAAGAAAGATGCATTAAAATTATATAAATAAGAAAAGGAAGCATTAATCAACCTTCTACACTCTACTAGTAGTTGCGTTGCGTTAACGGTGGATATTTGGTCCGCCGTTGCCAACAAGGATTATTTAGCTGTAACCAGACATTAGTATAAAGGTTTTAATTTGGATAAGAGAATCTTAGGTTTCAAATGTGTTATAGGATCATATACTGCCAATTTAATATATAACATAATTTTATCTGTTATTGATGAATATAGTTTAAGAGATAGAATAATAGCCATAACATTAGGTAATGTAATTTTATCTGTTATTTTCGACCCTAGATTAAAATTAGAAGGTTTAGAAAGTGGATTAGATAACTTTGGGGAATTTTTAGCTATCGGCACTACTAACTAATTTCCTATTATAATGGAAAAAATATTTCTCTTTATATCTCTTACGAAAGTAGGTTTAGAAATACACATCGTGTTGAACAACCGCAACAACGAGACGACAATCCGCATTCATTCTTGAATATTTTTGGGCTGTCTAAGAAGAAGAAGAAGACGACGACTCAAGGTCAAGAAGAATCTGGGAGTGGATCTTCGTCAAGAGGTGGCGGCAACAGCGTCGGATTCAACGAGTTAATGGCGTACCTGAGTGAGGGCTTAGTTATAGACAGTAGTGAAATGTTTGATTTGGTTCAGTGGTGGAGGGCACGAGCATTAACTTGGTTGATCCTAACACGACTGGCAATGGATATTTTTTTAATCCCGGTCTCCACTGTAGCGGCCGAACAAGCATTCAGTACTACCGGCCGAATACTTGAAGAATGGCGAAACGCATTGCAACAGGATATTGTTGAAGCTTTGGTGTGCATCAAGGATTGGGATCGTTCCGACCAACGCTTACACGATACAATCTCACCGACAAGTCAAGAATGGATCGATGAGTTTAATAGATTAACTTTTAATTTTCAAGACGATCATTCTGCTTCAAATTAAATTTTATTATTGTAATTTGTAAATATTCATTTACTTTGTATAGTGTTATTGTAATCTTGTATAGACTTTGTAAGTTCATCAAATTTGTAATTCGTCCCACAATGATTGCACTCTTTTTTCCTTTCTAAGTTTTTATCCCAATTGGATTTTTCTTGGTAAGGTTTTTAACGAGGCAATCATGAATTACAAATTTAAAAATCAATAAAGAAATAATTTTTTTTATATAGTTCGTGTTATCATTTCAAATTTCAAATTGTAATATATATATATAATATATATATTTATACAAATTATAATTATACAAATACAATATAAAAATGTAGTATAAAAAACGTTTGAAAATTCAGGCAGCCGGTCGGGCATTGGGCAGCCCGACCGGGCACGGGCAGCCACCTCCTGCCCGAAGCCCGTCCAAGGTGAAAATTCGGGTCGGGTCGGGCAGCCAGAATTTTCGGGCAGTTCGGGTTCGGTAATCGGGCAAAAATTTAAAATTTTCAGTAGTCGCGAGCGGCCCATCCAAAGTTTCATCACTAACCTCACTCCAATATTTTAAATAATGATGAAAAATCCATTACTTCACAAATTCTCATAAAATAAATCTTACATCAAATAATACAAACTGAACCTCTTACTAGAATCGCATAAATTTCCAACAAATACACGAGTGATTTTATTAGTCAAATCAGACAAATAACACAAATTTGAAAAAAATTTCCACTTTCAATCTTCTTTTGCCTCTTCAAAGAAAAGCACCACGATTTTGAACACAAGGATTAGTGCAAAATTTTGTTTGCAATCTGGGCACGCTCTTTTTTGTCTCTCTATGGAGTTCATTCGCGTAAAACGACCAACCTGTAAATTTTTCCAGAAATTGAAAAAACAGGATTATTGCCCAGTGTCATCATACCGAAAACCTAACATTTATCGCCGCAACAATCAAGCTCAATCAACACAATCTCACTACAACTAACTAATGCCAATTACAACATTCTCCCTCCTTGGTTTCCACCGTCAATATCGAAGGAAGGGATGTCAAAGATGGGTTGAGGGGAAAAGGGGAAAAAGGGATTTTGCTATACAAATAAAAAACAAAAACAAAAACAAAAAAAATAAAAATAAAAAAACAATCACTGCAACCAAGATTCAGGTAGGAGGGGCACCAGAGAGATCGAGACCCACGTGAGTCTCGG